AGTAGTAGAAGTAGTAGTAGTAGTAACAGCAGTAGCAGCAGTAGTAGTAGTAGTACTCGTGGTACTCCTCCTCCCTTTCCTCCTCCCCTCCCTCCTCTTCCTCCTCCTCATCCTCCTCCACCTCCTCCTCCTCCCCTCCTCTCCTCGCCCTTCCTTTCCTTCTCCTTTCTTCCGCCTCCCCCTCCTCCTCTTTCCTTTCCTCTTCCCTCTCCTCTTTCCGCTCTTCCTCTTCCTCTTCGTGCCTCCCTTCGTCCTTCGTCGTCCTCCCCCTCCTCCTCCTCTACCTCCTCGTCCCCCCCCTCATCCTTCTTCCTCCTCCTCCTTCCATCTCCTCCTCCGCCTCCTCCTCCCCCGTCAATTCCTCGTCCTCTCCTTTCCTTTCCCCCTCCTCCTCCTCCTCCTCCTCCTCCTCCTCCTCCTCCTCCCCCCCCCCCTTCCTTTCCTTTTTCCTTCTCCTCTTTCCGCTCTTCCTCTTTCTCCTCGCGCCTCCTTTCGTCCTTCCTGTCCTCGGCGTCCTCCTTCTGCTCATGCTGCGCTTGCTGCTGCTCCTCCTCCTCCAGCCATCCCGCCCTCGCCTGTCGCCGCGTTGGATCAAGTTGCTGCGCGGTCCGTTGGCCGCGCCGCGTCGTTCCCGGCCCGCCGCGGGGCGGCGCCGGAATTCGAGCCCGCGGTTGCTGATATCGCGGGTGCCGTTGTTGTAGTTGTTGTTGTGGCCCTGGTCGCAGGGGGTCGCTGGCGCGGCGCTGGTGCGTCGACAGCCTCTCCAGCGGCGTTGACCGCGACGCGGCCCGACGCTAACGGGGCGCCATCGGGGCGCTATCGGGGCGCTATCGGGCGCGATCGGCTGCTATCCAAGGGCGCGAGCGTCGCGGAGGCGGCCCATGGAAAGCACCCTAACGCACACATACACACGCACGCACGCGCACACACACACACATACACATACACATACATACACACACACACACGCACACACACACACACACACACTCGCACACACTCGCACACACGCACACACACACGCACCGCCACCACCACCACCACCACCACCGCCGTCACGCACGCACGCACCTGGCCCACCACCAAACCACCAAGACGCCACACCACGTCACGCCACAGCACGCGCGCGCACACGCACACACCACCACCACCACCACAACCACAACCACGATCATAACCATAACCATGACCATAACCACAACCACGCACACACGCACGCGCGCACGCGCACCACCACCCACTACGCACGCGCGCGCGGAGCCACGCGTCCGCTACGACACGCGTCCGCGGATAGAGAAAAGCAGCGCCATGGAAAGGGGTGGGGGGGGGGGGGTAGGACGTCAGATATGACGCGAGCGCACATAGCTTGCCTCCTCCCCCCCCCCCTTCTTACCCCTACGCACCTTCCTCCGCCTCCTCCTCCTGCTGGCGCGTTTCCCTGGAGGTGACGACGGACCTGCGGGGCAAGGGCGCCTGGCCCTGCATGCCTGCCAGCGCCCAGGCCCGCGCCCCGCCCCCGAAGGACCTGGGGCTCGCGGAGGCGGCGCCGGCGGATGCGCTGGGGGCGGCCGCGCCGGCGGCGCCAGCTCCGTCGGCGGCGGCGGCGCCGCCGCGAGTTTCTCGACGCGGCGGCGGCGGCGCCGCAGGGAGCGGCGCCGGGATCGGCGACGTGTCTCCGCGCGCGCCCGCTCGGGGCCCAGGAGAAACGCGGCCGACGTGCCCCTCTGCTGCTGCTGCTGCTGCGGCTCGGTAGCGATGGCGAGGGTAGACGAAAAGAGAGTAGAGGGGGATGGGGGGGGGCTGGGACAGGCGAGGAGATGGGGAGGGGAGGGGGGGGCGGGGAGCGGCGGGCGTGCGATCGAAACCAGGAGAACTCCCCTGCCCCCCGCCCCTCTCCTTCCTCCTTGCCCAGCCTTCTACCTCCTTTCTGTTTTACCTTCTCTTTCCCCCTCGCCCTCGCCCCCCCCCGCCCCACTTCCCCCCCCCCGCCCCCCGCCCGCCCCTACTTCCCCCATTCCTTCCCTGTTGGCCCCAATGCCGCATGCCGTTCCCTCCGTCGGTCACCGCCCGTTCCTCCTTATCAGTGGGCAAGGCGCGCGTGCCGCTCTCTGCTGCCGCAGCTCGCCGCGCCCTCCGTGCCCTTGCCTTTCTGCGGTCGATCGAGGATCGATGCTCCCGGTGATGTGTTCGTGCGTGCCGCGTGTACCGCGTCATTAGACTGCGTGTGCACGGTGATTATTGTTTCTGGTTATGTGTTGGTTAAGGTTTGGTTATATGCTGGTTCTGCGATGGTTTTGTTGGTAGTTAGCGATTTCTTGGTTTTATTGGTCGACGCCTCCCTCCGAGGGCGATGGGGCTCCGCAGCCAATGCGTGCATTTTTATATGGCGATGCGTCTTAGGCTCAAGTCCGCTGTCCGACCCACCTCCCTCTTCCGACCTCCAGTTCCCGGGGTTGCGAGTTCCGCTTTCCTCCCTCGGGGGCGATGGCCGGCGGGCGATCGCGGCCTGGCGCCGGCGGCGCCCGCGATGGTGGAGCCGCCGCTACAGGCGCCGCCTTCCCCGGCCGCGGCGCCCGCGCCGTTGGACCCCGAGCCCGCGGCGCCCGCGTCGGTGGAGCCGGCTCTGCCGGGCGGCGCCGCGGATCGCGCGCCCGCCGCTTCGCCGCCGAGCTGGGGGTGGTATTGGAGAAGTGTTGAGGCGGCCTGGGCGTTCTACGTTGGCTTCTTCCTGATCCTGGCGGCGGAGGAGGCGGGCCGCCTCCGCGGGATCCGGCCCACGATTGAGACCGGCGCCCACACGCGCCACGCCGCCTGTGCATTCGCGGAAGTGCTTGCTGAGCGTTTGCGGCGGTCGTGGGCACTGACTTGCGGGTGGGTCTACGCGGAGCTCTTCGCCGACAGGGTCGTCGGATTGCTGCTTCACCCTGGAGCTTCGCTGGGTCGGCGACCGCCCCTTTGCGTCGCGCTTCGGCCTCGAATTCGACATTGCGGAGGACTTGGGGCGCGCGCCTGCGCGCGCGCGGCGACCCCGACGACGGGGCCCGCGCCCTGAACCCGGACCTCGTCTACTGCGGGGTCGTCCTGTTCACCCGCCGCCTGCAGAGCAACGAGGATCCGCACGCTGCTCGCGCTGCTGCCGCTGCCCCGCTGCCCCCGCGCAAAGCGTTCGTGGTTGCGTGCTCATATGCGCGCGCCTGCATTCGCGCGACGCGGCGCGCGCCTCTCTCTGGTCCGAGGCGCGCGCGCGCACATCGGCGCAAAATGCAGACGGACTGTGCGCGTAGTTTTGGGCCCGTGCCCCAGCGGCATTCTCGGCTTCCGTCTACGCGCGGGTCGAGCGCGGGCCCCGCGAGTTTTCTGTGACGGGGGGGGGTGCGAATGAGTCCGCGAGCGTCCTCGTTCATAGTATCGCTTCACGTGTGTTGTTCGTTGACAGACGCACGTTTCGAACGATGATGGTCAGCTCCTTCGGGTTTTTCGCAATCGCGGGTCGCTGCTCTTCGATGTATGTTCGCAGCGCGTTTGCGATGCTTTGCGCGGCGTTGCAGGGGGGAGGGATGGGGGGGGGGGGTCGGGGGGCCCCGTGCCCACTTTTAGCGTCTGTCGTGGTCCGCGGGGCTTTCGGGGGAACACCGGCCCACGATTTCAATTCCCCCCTCGCGCTTCCGCAGGAGGGCCGGCCAGATCGGCTGCTCACGAAGGTGCTGCGCACGCCCTCCGAGCCCGATGAGTTCCCCGAGAACCTCGTCGGCATGCCTGGGAAGCGCGGGGTCGACCATGTGGCTTCCGGAAGAGTTCCAGGAAGACCAATCGACGCAAAATCACACCCTGGGCGCAGGGGCTGGGCTACTATTCAATTGCACTCCCAAGAGCGCAGAGTGACGCGAGAAGCCCTTAACGCCGACGTTCTACGATCGATCGATAACGCAAGCAGCTCGCAACTCCAAGACTCCCAAGAGGGAGCGGTGACGCAGCGAGCCCTTAACGCGAAGGCTCCAAAGAGCGATCGGGCAAGTGAACAACTTTGAACACCAAAGCTCCCAAGAGCGAGCGGCAATGTGACAGCCTCTGAACATCACGGCCCCCGAAAGCGAGCGGCGACGCAACATGCTCTCAACGCCGAGGCTCCCAAGAGCGAAGGGTGCCACGAGGCATCTCGGGATATTTCCTGACGCCCCTCCTTCCGGAGGAGTTCGCCCCCCGCCTCTCGAACGTCGATTCTCGTTTGTTTCCTACAGCCGTCTCTTCCGACCTCCGGTTTCCGGGGTCGCTCTATTCCTCTCCGTCGTTTCTCTGGCTTCCCGTGCGTCGGCGCGATGTGGTTCAAGACTGGCAGCGGGCTTGCGCCGACATCGTGCGTTGCACGTTATAGCGAGCTCCAGGTGCGCATTCAAGGCGCATATTGGCGACTGCCGGCGAATGGCGGTCAATTTCGTTCTCGACCGGATATTCCTGCTTACGAGTGACGGGGGGATCGCGCACGCTCGAATACACGGCGACCGCTACCCTCAGGATCCATGGTCTCGGCGTGAGCCGTGGTCGGTTTCAGATGCGCAAGTACATGCAAATGGAATTCCTCGGGTGCGCGGACGCGTCAAGTTGACGTTATACACTTATTTTCTCGACGTTCTACGTTACGGACGGCTTTGCGCGCGCTGGGGCAGCGAGGAGTGCATTCGCATTGCAGCTGGATCCGATCGCATTGCGCTGCTCCGGAGGGGCGGCAAATTCGAAGTGGGGGCGTTGAGTGATGATGCCCGCTCAATCTCCAACCTCGCAAACCTATTCAACTTTACAACCTTTGATACTCTCGCCATGCTTCCCGTTCACGTGGCGGCCAACCAAATCAACCAGATCTCTACGTCTGGAAAGGCTGTGGCGCTCTTGGACGACAACGGCAAAGCCGAGGAGCACGCCATCGCCCCATTCGTTCTTAATTGTTGCCGGGTCAGCGATTGCGCCCAGGTGGCCGCGTCTGGTAAACATGTGGCGCTCTTGAAGACCAACGGGAGCTGCGTTGCGATGGGTGGGTGCGATCTTGACCTGCGCACTCCCCCCTGGTCTCCGCGGTGATCCAAGAGAGTCTCTGCCGGTGTACTTTCCCCGTCTCTCCAGAAAACCTCACGTGCACGCAAGTAGCCCTGGGCTGCTGCCACGCAGTACTTCTGCGCTGCGACGGCACGGCGGTGGCTTACGGGGCCAATCTGCATCACGAGTGCGACATTCCGCCATTGGGCGCCGACGTGACCTACGCGAGCGTGACTGCTGACTATGGATACACAGCTCTCCTGAGAAGCGACGGCGCCGTTGCGGTGCGCGGGCGCGACCAGGTGGGCGGTCTCATATTGACTCCGCCCTCGTCGACTTACACGTTCGTGCCACCCGCGCTGCCCTTGCTGACGCCACGGGCGAAATTTGCTAGCAGAGGCGTGGTGTTCCTGTCATTAAGTGGGGCGGAGCGCTGCAGATTCAATTTGCCACTTCCCGACCTGGCCGAAATCGAGCTCTGCTACCTCTACCGCTGGTCGAAGCGTCAGCGGCGCTCCGGGGGGGTCGGTCACGGCATCGGAAAGGTCGACGCTGTTCTGCCAAACGGGAGGCTTCTCAGTGGAGCTTCGGCCCATGAGACACTTGCGAGCGCACGGGGGCATCGCCCAAGGCGGTTGAACGGCAAGCGCAGTCTCCGTGAGTATTGGGGCGTCGACTGAAACCTTCGCGCGGCCGTCGCAACTACGCGGCAGCCGGATTCAAGCTTCCCTCCCGGGGCGCGCAGTGCAGGGGCGAGACTGCGAGCCATTGTGAGCGCCCGCGCTGCTCGCATCGATTTGTTCAGCTGTCTTGCTGCGACAGGAGATAGTCGAGGGCGACAACGCATGACGAGAGGCAGCGGCGTGCTCTGATGCCGCCCGATGCACGCAAGAGCTCCGTTGCTGGATTTTCCCGGCCTGCCCATTTGAAGCGGCGGGCCGCTCACTGGGATGAATCCCCAGGACAGAGTCCAGCGAATTGTTGTCTCGTACTTCGCCGCGCACGTGGGTTCCATGGGATTCACATCGGCTCGCGCCCGTTCATTTAAAGTCACGCTTCCAGCATCTCAATGTTCTCGGCCATGCAGATTAAAACGGCCACGTGGGTTCGAACGGCCATGCGGGTCAAAACGGCCATGCGGCTTAACACGGCGATGCGGGCTCATACGTCCGTCGTGGTTGAAACGGTCATGCGGGTTAAACGGCCATGCGGGTTCAAACGGCCATGCTGCCTCAAACGGCCATGCGGATTAAAACGGCGGTGCGGGTTAAAACGGCCATGCTGGTTCAAACGGCCATGGGGGTTCAAGCGGCCGTGCGGGTTGCCGCGGGGTGTGGGGACTCGGCTGCCTGGGTGTGGGGACTGGGCTGTCTCGGTGTCACAGCAAGGAACTCTGGTTTCTGTGCTTCTGCAGACTGTCCGGCGCCCTTACAGATCTCGTCTTTTCGCGCGCGTGGAACCCCCCGCGCGCGGAATGTTTGCATGAGCCGGCGGTAATATGAGAAACGTTGAAAGAATTTTGTCTCTCATACACTAAACGTTACAAGCGCGGAGGCTCGCAGCGCGAACGCAGACGTGCGAAGTGGCTCACCACCAAGGCCCCCAGTGCGAAAGTTGACGTGAATAATTTGTAGACGCCAAGGGCTCCCAGTGCGAGCGACGACGTAATGGGACTCGGACGCCAAGTTTGCGATTGCGCGCAGTGGTGCGAGACATCTCGGGCAAGTTTCTACGGCGCTCTTTCCTTCTCCGTGCCAGCCCAGGTGGCGGAAAGAGGGGGGCGCGGGCGAGTGGCGTTGAGCAGGGGGCGAAGCCCTTCTTAGGGGGGGTCCGGGGGGGGCGCGTGGACCAGACGTTTTGGTCCAATCGCCCTCGCGGCCTCTAAGACGCGCCCCAAACGGCCCCATAGGCACCCGAGACAGTTCAAGAGGGGCCCAAGACGGCTCCAAGACGGTCCAAGAGCGCTCCAAGACGCCCAAGTTGGGTCCGGGGCGGTGCTAGACGGCCCCAAGACGCCCTAAGATGGCTCCGAGACGGTCCAAGAGGCTCCCAAAACGCCCCAAGTGGCCTTCAAGAGGCTTTCCAAGAGGCCCCGAGGAGGCAAACATCATCGATTGTTTAATTATTTTGGAAGTGTTTTTTATATATGAAAAATATAAAAGAGAAATGATACCAGAGAAAAGCCCCAATCAGAATTTGGGGGGGCTATGGGGCTTTAGGGCTTTAGGGCTATGGGGCTATCGGGCGATGTGGCCATCGGGATATAGGGCTAGAAGCCTTTAGGGCTATGGCTATAGGCTATAGGGCTACAGGGCTATTGGGCTATAGGGCTAAGGGCTATAAGGCTATTCGGGCTATAGGGCTATTTACGGTTATATACGGCTACAGGGTTTTAGGACCATAGGGCTATAGGGTATAGGGCTATAGGGCTATGGGGCTATGGGGCCATAGGGCTATTGGGCTCTTGGGCTCTTGGGCTATAGGGCCATCCGAGGTGAGGGGGTGAGATCGAAGAGGCGCGGCCAGACCACATGTTTCTCATCCGGGGCGCGGGGCCCCGCGGTGTCCCGCCGGTGCCCCGCGGTGTCCCGCGGTGTCCCGCGGTGCCCCACCGGTGTCCCGCGGTGTCCCGCGAGGATGATGATGATGAGATGACGATGATGATGATGAGATGATGGTGATGGTGTCACGATGAAGGCGGTGATGATGTTGATGATGGTGTCGATGATGATGATAGTGTCCCGATGACGAGGATGATGGTGCTCATGGTGATTATGTTGATGATGATGACGATGATGGTGTCCCGATGATGATGATGATTCCCATGATGTTGGTGATGATGGTGTTGATGGAAATGGTGTCATTGCGATATTGATGTTGATTATGATGATGTTGGTGATGAGTATGGTGTCCCGATGATGATGCTGCTGATGATGATGGTGATGCTGATGGTGTCCCGATGATGATAATAATGATAATGACGATGTTGATGATGATGTTGCTCATGATGATGGTGCCCCAATGATGATGCTGATGTTGTTGATGATGATGATGTCTATGATGATGATGATGCGATGATCATGATGATGGTGTCCCGAGGATGATGACGATGTTGATGATAATGTTGATGATGAGAACGATGCTGATCATGATGGTGTCTCGATTCTGATGATGATTCTGATGATGCTGCTGATGATGATGACGATGACTGTGTCCCGATGATGATGATGCCGATGTTGATGATGAGATGATGATGGTGGTGATGATGATGATGTTGTCCAGATGATGATGCTGACGTTGATGATGCTGTTTATGATGATGACGGTGCCCTCATGATGATGACGACGTTGGTGATGATGTTGATGTTGATGATGTTGTTGTTGATGATGATGACGTTGATTGTGAGAGCGATTGTGATATCGATAGTGAGATCGATATTGAGACCGAATGCGGGATCGATTGTGTGATCGATTGCGGGATCGATTGTGAGATCAATTGTGAGATCGATCGAATGAGATAGATCGAGTGAGATCGATTGTGAGATCGATCGAGTGAGATCGATCGAGCGAGACCTATAGTGAGATCGATACTGAGATCGATAGTGCGACCGATCGAGTGAGACGTTGCCCCCCCCCCGAACCTCCTTATCACCCGCAGGGTGGTCGTATAGGTACGGCTATATGGGCTATAGGGTTTATAGTGTATAGGGATATATTGGCGATTGGGATATTGGGCTAAGGATATAGGCTATGGGGCTAGGCACCCCCGGCACTTCTGGGCGCCCCGGGCACCCGGGCACCCCTGGGGCACCCGGGCACCCCGGGCCCGGCACCGGGCCGCCGGTCCCGGCCCAGAGATCGCCACGCACTTTGGCTCCCGGCACCCCCGGGAACCCCCCGGCACCTGGGCACCCGCCCGGCCACCGAAATCGGCGCTCACCTCACCTCAGTTTATATCCGCTAGGACCCCATACAGAGGCAAGCTCTTCTGGGGAAAAAAAACATGATTTCGCTTTGTCGGGCCATGAACTGCCGAAAACGACCCAGGAGGCTCCAAAGATCGTCCAAGGACGGCCCAAGAGGCCCCCAGAAGCGAGCGAAAACGGCCCAAGAGTGCCCCAAGACGGCCCAAGAGGGCCTCGAAACGGCCCAAGAGAGCCCCAAGACGGCCCAAGAGAGCCCCAAGAGAGCTCCAAGAGACTCCCAAGACCGCCCCAAGAGACTCCCAATAGAGCCCCAAGACGGCCAAAGCCCTCCAAGATGCACCCAGACGCCCGAAAAGGGCCCCACGACGCCCCAAGAGGGCCCCAAGACAGTCGAAATGGGCCCCCAAATCAGCCCAAAAGGATTCCCAAGAAGGCCCAGAGACGCCGAATAAAAGAGCGATCGGTAACGCAAAAAGCTCTGCACACCAAGGTTCCCAACAGCGAACGGTTACGCGCGCCTGCGACGGGCTTGGGGCTGTTTTGGGCGCGGAGCCTTTCACTAGGGCCAGCTTTTCATCCCGAGGAAAGGGGGGTGGAGCGGTGACGTCAGCAACTCTAGTCACCAAAGCTTCCAGAGCGCACAGTGACGGGACAAGCTCTTAACAGCAAGGCTCTCACGAGCGAACGACCATCGGGACAACCATCAGGATGACCATCGAGACAATCATCGGAACAACCATCGGGACAACCATCCTGACCCATTGTGCTTACACGCCATACACGCGCACCCTATGGGACATGCTGCGGCATGCACCCACTGGGACACGTGTAGTACGCGCACCCTTTGGGACGTGCTCAGCACGCACCCATTGGGACACGCACGGCATCGTGCACGCGCACATTTTGGGACGTGCTCCGGCACGCACCCACTGGGACACGTGTAGTGCACGCCCTTTGGGGCGTGCTCTGCGCGCGCCCATTGGGACACGTACGGCATAGTACACGCGCACCCTTTGGGGCGTGCTCCGGCACGCACCCACTGGGACACGTGTCGTATGTGCACCCTGTGGGGCGCGCTTTGCACGCACCCAATAGGCACGTACGGCATAGTACACGCGCACCCTCTGGGACGCGCTCCGGCACGCACCCACTGGGACACGTGTAGTACGCGCACCCTTTGGGACGTGCTTTGCACGCACCCATTGGGGCACGTACGGTATAGTGCACGCGCGCTCTCTGGGACGTGCTCCGGCACGCACCCACTGGGACATGTGTCCTACGTGCACCCTTTGGGGCGTGCTTTGCACGCAACCCATTGGGGCACGTACGTAGTTTGAACCACGCGCTGTGTTCTTGTTTATAAGGGGTCACTAACGCCAATTGTTTTGTGCGTGTCCAGATTTCCATGGAGATCCCCAGTGGCATTATTGGCATATCTCTTCCGAGTTGCACAAAGGCCCATGCGTGCACGATTTCGCACGGCTTTTGCGTTTGTTTTTCCACCCTATTTTGCCTGGATGAGGTTTGCGGCCCCGGGGCGGCATTGTTTTTTTTATGCGGGGGGGGGGGGGCTACAAGTTTTTTTTTTTTGTTTTTCAAAAAAAAAAACTCCCCAGGCCATTTCGGGATTCGCTCGTCGATTTCCCAACGCCTTCGC